TGTCCATGGGTTCCAGACTTCAGGCAAAGCATCAGAAAGGAGGAAACCCAGTCTTTGGTCATGTCCATGGGTTCCAGACTTCAGGCAAAGCATCAGAAAGGAGGAAACCCAGTCTTTGGTCATGTCCATGGGTTTCAGACTTCAGGCAAAGCATCAGAAAGGAGGAAACCCAGTCTTTGGTCATGTCCATGGGTTCCAGACTTCAGGCAAAGCATCAGGAAGGAGGAGACCCAGTCTTTGGTCATGTCCATGGGTTCCAGACTTCAGGCAGTCATTGCCAGTAAAGGATTCTCCACAAAATATTACAAATGAACCTTTTATTTATGATTATATTCATTTGTCCAATTACATTTGAGCCCCTGAAGATGGAGGGACTGTGTATAAAAATGGTTGCAGTTCCTAAAATTTGTACTTAGTATTTATGTTCAACCCCTTGAATTAAAGCTGAAAGTCTGCACTTCAAATTCATTTGGATTGTTTCATTTTAATTTATTCTGGTGACATACAGAGCCAAAAGTATGATAATTGTGCCTGTGTCTAAATATACATGGACCTAACTGTAAGTACCTGTAATAATAAAGGTTCCACATACATAAATAAAAGCTGCTCATTGTAAGCACCCCTGTCAGTGGTAAATAGTTTGTCTTATCCCTGTAAAGCAATACATTTGCAGGAGAGCTTGTCTGATGAATAAAATAACTGGCTGGATCACCAGGTCAAAATAGAAGAAAGAAAGCCTAAAAAAGAAAACTAATGCAGCCACTACATCTATGAATTGGTAAGCTGCAATGTTTGCTATGGCTTTTGGGTTTAATACCGCTGTAAATAGGATGAAGTGGGGGAGTTTGGGAACCCAAATACCAGTAACCTTAAAAATAAGATTCAGCACTTTATTGCAAAATTGTCTGATTCTGGGGCATTCTCACCATATGTGGCGGACTCAATATTTTCACCTCATCCACACTCATGCCGTGTTATTCTTTTTGTCTTTCATAGTCAAGTTGGCTACGCAAGCATCTGGGTGGTTGTTCCCGACACCATCACCACATTTAATGCCAAGACCTTCTGCATGGGAGAAACAGCGGTTTTGGCCTCTCACCACAAGTATCCCTGACCGTCTTCAAGCCGTTCTTCGTGGACCTCACCTTACCCTATTCCATCATCCGGGGGGAGATGGTCACACTGAAAGCCTTGGTCTTCAATTATGTTAAACAGTGTTTAAAGGTAATGATACGAAAATTAAAGCTGAGCTTCAACCTTCTTCAGTCTTGCTTATTCCGATTCCAGAGAACACTAGGAGCTTCTCACAATGTATATTAGAAAACACAGCCTGTTTTATTTCTTGGCTGGATGTTGTCCTGGATTCAGGTACTCCCTTGCCCAGCGGATCCAGCCTTGTCCTGGATTCAGATACTCCCCTGCCCAGCGGATCCATCCTTGTCCTGGATTCAGATACTCCCCTGCCCAGCGGATCCAGCCTTGTCCTGGATTCAGATACCCCCCCCTGCCCAGCAGATCCAGCCTTGTCCTGGATTCAGATACTCCCCCCCTGCCCAGCAGATCCAGCCTTGTCCTGGATTCAGATACTCCCCTGCCCAGCGGATCCAGCCTTGTCCTGGATTCAGATACCCCCCCTGCCCAGCAGATCCAGCCTTGTCCTGGATTCAGATACTCCCCTGCCCAGCGGATCCAGCCTTGTCCTGGATTCAGATACCCCCCCTGCCCAGCAGATCCAGCCTTGTCCTGGATTCAGATACCCCCTGCCCAGCAGATCCAGCCTTGTCCTGGATTCAGATACTCCCTGCCCAGCGGATCCAGCCCTGTCCTGGATTCAGATACTCCCCTGCCCAGCGGATCCAGCCTTGTCCTGGATTCAGATACTCCCCCTGCCCAGCGGATCCAGCCTTGTCCTGGATTCAGGTACTCCCCCCTTGCCCAGCGGATCCAGCCCTGTCCTGGATTCAGATACTCCCCTGCCCAGCAGATCCAGCCTTGTCCAGCCCTGGATTCAGATACTCCCCCCCCTGCCCAGCAGATCCAGCCTTGTCCTGGATTAAGGTGCCTCCCTGCCCAGCAGATCCAGCCTTGTCATTGATTCAGCAGATACTGTCCCTTCTGCCCAGCAGATCCAGTGTTGTCCTGGATTCAGATACTCCCCTGTTCAGCAGATCCAGCATTGCCCTGGATTCAGATACTCCCATGTTCAGTGGATCCAGCATTGTCCTGGATTCAGATACTTCCTTACCCAGTGGATCCAGCCTTGTCCTGGATTCAGATACTCCTCTGCCCAGTAGATCCAGCGTAATCCTGGATTCAGATACTCCTCTGCCCAGCGGATCCAGCATTGTCCTGCATTCAGATACTTCCCTACCCAGTGAAACCAGTGTTGTCCTGCTGCAAACCACTTTTCAGGTGCAGCACCTTGGGTCTCTTGCCACCATCTTAGTCCTCCCCAATCATTGGATGCTGGCTGCCTTATCCGGATTTGGGCAGCCAGCCTCCGAGGACCACTAGTTAGACCATCAACTTTTGTTATTCCCGTCTCCTGCAGCTTCCTGGGATATGTGATGAGGAATTCCAGGAGGCTGAGGCAGCAGGGGCGGGAATAGCTGTGAGTAGGCAGGGGAGGCCTAAATTAAATAAAGAGCCAAAGAGAAAAGTGGCAATTCATACTGGGAAGGGGAAGAAGCCACGTAAAGAGCCTTAAAGAAGAACTTTACTAATCTTCAATCCAGCGGTGTAGTCTCCAAGAGCTCCCTGCTCGCATCTGTAATTTTTGTCTGGATCGGCTTCCTGGTACCGATCTTCGTCCTTTTCGATTGTACCAACTAAGATGACATGACTCCCACACTTGCATGGAAGTTCATACATTTTGGCCTGGTGCAGCTCAGTGTACAGGGCATACAATAAGTAATGGAATTGTAATGCAGGAGAGACAGAGTGGGGGTTATTTACTAAAACTGGAGAGTGAAAAATCTGGTGCAGCTGTACATAGAAGCAGGGGCGGACTAACAACTCATGGGGCCCCCGGGCAATAGGGGATCATGGGGCCCCTGTGTCCTTGCCCAAACTCAAAAAAAGCCTATGAAAAAGGTACCAGGGGCATCTCATGGGGCCCCCTACTGACCCCGGGCCCTCGGACAGTGCCCGAGTTTCCAAATGGTCAGTCCGCCCCAGCATAGAAGCCAATCAGCTTCCAGGTTTTATTTCCAAAGCTAAAGTGAACAAGCTGAAAGTAAAAACCGATTAGCTACCATGTACAGCTGCAGAGCTGTGGATAAAGGGGTACCACCAGTCCTGTACGGGACCCAGGCCAGAAAGGGGGCCCAGGCAGCTGGGTAAATTGGATGTGAGCAGGGAGGGTGATTGGCATGGCAGGTGGGGAGGGAAGTTACTGGAACCAATCCCTACATCCCATGCCCCCACCCCCACAGTGCTGCCGGCTTCCCTCCTCTCCTTTCCACTGGCAGCTGCTAGAACACAATGGTATTCTTCCAGATGGAGAATGGGAGGAAGTCACATTTACCAGCCCCTTCCTCTCCTGATCACTCGCTGTGTTCATTCATAACTGAAGCATAGTAAACTGTGTTTTATTGGGGGGGGCCCTGTCAGGTTGGCTGTATGGGGCCCCGTGGTTTCTAACAGCAGCCTTGTACAGCTGCACCAGATTCTGAGTGCACCGGTTTTAGTAAATCTCTTCCAGTATTTCTCTTCGGCATTAAAATTCTGCCTATTTGCCTTTTTTATTTTTTTTTAAGTGGATCTTTGGCCTCCAAAACGTTATCTGTCCACTGCACACCTCCATCGGTCCTCTACACGATTAATGAGCTTTTTTTTTTCCATTATTTACTTTTAAGAAAATCTCTGGCCCTGCCCCTCTTTGCACATCATTCGCCTAGGTCAGGGGTAGGCAACCTGCGGCTCTCTAGCTGTTGTGGAACTACATTTCCCATGAGGCATTGCAAAGATTACAAAACTGACAATTACAGCTATGACTTGCAGAGGCATGATGGAACTTGTAGTCCTGCGGCTCTCAGGTTGCCTACCCTTGGCCTAGGTGAATGATGTGTGCTGTCCTCCCTTTGCCTTCTGGGATATGCATGTCACATATCCCAGAAGACATAGCTTGTGATTGAGGAAAGGAATAGGTCCCCGGTGAACCTGGTGCAGCTGACAGCCTATTGATGACATCACAGAAAAACATGGTGACGTGGGACCGAGCGCTGCCAGAAGGGAAGAAGATCTCAACTGGCCAATGCAGGATCTGCTGAGAGGGTGAGTATCTGAAATATGCTTCATTCACCACTAAGCAGCGTTTTTGTTTTTTTTTTAAATATGGTGGGAGGGTGAAAATCTACCTAAAATGATCTGAAGGGTGAAGGTTCGCTTTAAAGTGTTACTAAACCCCCAGCAGTACAATCAGTCTGTATATGAAATAAAGCATTCTTGTTATACTCAGAGGTCAGGGGTTCTGCATCCTCCTAGAGCTGAATGAAAACTCCTATTAGCTTTAACTTAAATGTGCTTTGCTGGACACTGATAGAAGTCCCAAGACTGCTATATACTGCTGATGAGAAAAGGTTTTTAGCAGTTTATATTTACTAAAATAATTGCATTAGTATGTTGTGTGTATTGTGGGAGACCGGATATAGTGAATGCAGGGTCCTGGGAGACCAGATATAGTGAATGCAGGGTCCTGGGAGACCAGATATAGTGAATGCAGGGTCCGGGGAGACCAGATATAGTGAATGTAGGGTCTGGGGAGAGCGGATATAGTGAATGCAGGGTCCGAGGAGAACATATATAGTGAATGCAGGGTCCAGGGAGATCAGCCATAGTGAATGCAGGGTCCAGGGAGACCAGCCATAGTGAATGTCGGGTCCAGGGAGACCAGCCATAGTGAATGCCGGGTCCGGGGAGACCAGATATAGTGAATGCCGGGTTGAGCAGATATAGTGAATGCCGGGTCCAGATATAGTGATGCCGGACCGAGCAGATATAGTGAATGCAGGGTCCGGGAAGACGGATATAGTGAATGCAGGGTCCGGGGAGAGCGGATATAGGGAATGCAGGGTCCTGGGGAAACCGGATATAATGAATGCAGGGTCCGGGGAGCCGGATATAGTGAATGCAGGGTCCTGGGGAAACCGGATATAGAGAATGCAGGGTCGGGGGAGACCGGATATAGAGAATGCAGGGTCCGGGGAGACTGGATATAGTGAATGCAGGGTCCGGGGAGCGCGGATATAGTGAATGCAGGGTCTGGGGAGAGCAGATATAGTGAATGCAGGGTCCTGGGGAGACCATATATAGTGAATGCAGGGTCCGGGGAGATCGGATATGGTGAATGCGGGCCTGGGGAGACTAGATATAGTGAATACAGGGTCCGGGGAGAACATATATAGTGAATGCAGGGTCCAGGAGAGATCAGTGAACTTAGTGATATGTCGGGTCGGGGAGACCTGGATATAGTGAATGCCGGGTCCGGGGAGACCAGATATAGTGAATGCAGGGTCGGGGAAACCAATATATAGTGAATGCCGGGTTGAGCACCGGATATAGTGAATGCAGGGTCCAGGGAGACCGGATATAGTGAATGCAGGGTCTGGGGAAGACTGGATATAGTGAATGCAGGGTCCGGGGAGACGGATATAGGGAATGCAGGGTCTGGGGAAACTGGATATAGGGAATGCAGGGTCCGGGGAGACCGGATATAGAGAATGCGGGGTCGGGGGAGACCGGATATAGAGAATGCAGGGTCCAGGGAGACTGGATATAGTGAATGCGGGGGTCCGGGGAGACTGGATATAGGGAATTCAGGGTCCGGGGAGAGCGGATATAGTGAATGCGGGGTCCGGGGAGACTGGATATAGGGAATGCAGGGTCCGGGGAGAGTGGATATAGTGAATGCAGGGTCCGGGGAGAGCGGATATAGTGGCAGGGGCCTGGGTTTAGTAACACTTTCAAGTGGAGTTCCAGCCATTTTAGTGTTTTTATTAAATGTCAGCAGTTCCAAACACTGTATCTGCTGACTTTTAATAAACACACACTTACCTGTTCTGGGGTCCAGCGATGTGCTCACCTGCACCGTCTCTTCTCCTCTTCTTTCCTCCACGGCACAGGCATCTCTACTGTGGGCACCAGGCTGTGATAGCTTGCGCGAGTCACGCTGCACTTCCTAATTGGTGAAAAGTGAAAGTTCCCAGGAGACTGCGGGAGGGGGAGCCGAACTTCCAGCTCACTTTGCCGCGGCGAACTGAGCTGGAAGTGGGAGTGGGTACCTGTCAAAACCAGGCACCCCCCCCCCCCCCCTCAAAAGGCACCAAATATGGCAGTGGAGGGGGGAGGAGGCAAATAAGCGGAGCTTTTCAGTGGAACTCCACTTTAATTTCCAAGCTCTCCCCTACAGTACTTCTTTTTGGCCAGTAGATGTCCTCAGCGTCCTAGGTTGAATGACACTCAGCCTGGAGGACTCAGGAAATACTGTGAGTGTTGGGCGACTGCGGGAAGACCGAAAAGGACCCAGATCATCACATGGCCGGTCAGTAGACTTTAAAAAGAAGGTAAATTAAAAAAAAAAATGCATAGACCATTGGGAGGGACCTCAGTGTTGGCGGGGGGGGGGGGCTTTGGAAAGGACAAAATGGAGTCAAGATTTGGGTTTTAACAGTCTAATTCTGATTTTGTCTCTCAGGTCAAGGTAACGCTGGTCTCTTATTCGAATTTCACCATCCAAGCCTGCACAGGCTGTGTGTATACCAAATGCATGTGCGCGGATGAATCCAACACCTTCCACTGGAATATCACTGCTCAAGTAATAGGTAATGATCAATAAGCCGGACTAATCAGCCTGAAGGTATACATTCCTGACAAAAGCAAAGCCCCCAACAGAGGAAAAACTAATAGGGCTTTTCAAGGCACCATACCATATAAAAGTATAGAAATGCACAACATGGAACACTAGATAAAATGGAACGTGTTTTATTATATTGTTCTACAAAAACCACACAAGTGCTAAGAAAGACAACATCCAAAATAGGCGCATACATAATAAATCAACAAAAACAAAATATATATCTATAAATGGCAACAGCGGGGAAAGGCTCTGGCCCAGGTTGCAAAAACATCACAGGCAAGAGTCCAGAAACCTCACCAATAACACTAGAGAAACAGATTGTCATTGAACAAGTAAAATACAAAAATGTTTTTCCATAAGATTGAATACGGAACTGTAAAAAATCAATCGAGAAATCCAATGGCAACAGCGGGCAAAAGACTCCGGCCTGGGATGCAAGAGCGTCAAGGGCATGAGTCCTGGAGCCTCACCGATACCACTAGGGAGACTGATCGTCATTCAGCAGGTGAAATACCAAAACGTTTTTCCATAGGATTGAATTAGAAAACTGGATCAATACTCAAGAGATCCGACACGTTTCGTGGGATAGGACCCACTTCTTCAGGGAATTTAGGAAAAACAAAACTGTGCCTACAATGGAATCAAAAATTACAAAACCAATTAACCACTTGAGCTCCTGAGGATTTACCCCCCTTAATGACCACGCCTCTTTTTGCTACTCGGCGCTGCAGTAATTCAACTGATAATTGCGCAGTCATGCAATGCTGCACCCAAAACGAAATTTACGGCCTTTTTTTCACACAAACAGAGCTTTCTTTCGGTGGTATTTGATCACCTGTGCGCTTTTTATTTTTCACGCTATAAACAAAAAAAGGCCAAAACTTTTGAAGAAAAACAATATTTTTTACTTTCAGCTATAAAAAAATATATAGTAAACTCAAAGTTGGTTATAAATTTAGACCAAAATGTATTCTGCTCCATGTTTTTGGTAAAAAAAATCCCAATAAGTGTATATTGATTGCTTTGTGTGGAAGTTATAGCGTCTACAAACTATGGTATAGATACTGCAATTTACACCATTTTTCTGCTATACAGCACTGCGCTAGTTTAACGGACAATTGCGCGGTCATGCAATACGGTACATAAGTGAAATTTACATCCTTTTTTTTCCCCACAAATTGAGCTTTCTTTCAGTGGTATTTGATCGCCTGTGCGGTTTTTATTTTTTTGCGCTTTAAAAAAGAGGCTGACAATTTTGAGGAAAAAAAACAATATTTTGGACTTTTTGCTATAAAACATGTCCAGTAAAAAAAAAATAAAAAAATCAAATTTAGTCATAAATTTCTACCAAAATGCATTCTGCTCCATGTCTTTGCTACAAAAAACCCAATACGTGTAAATTAATTGGTTTACGTGAAAGTTATAGCGTTTACAAATGGCGGGAAAGATACTGGGATTTTTAGGGTTTTTTTTATACTAATAATGGTGGCGATCAGGGACTTATGGCAGGACTGCGGGACTGCGGCGGACATTCTGACATTGGGGGGTACTGACTTGGGGTCACTGACATCCCCAGTGACACCAATACAGTGATCAGTGCAAAAAAAAAAAAAAAACACTGACACTGTACTAATGGCACTGGGGAGGAAGGGGTTAAGTTTATTATTCAGGGAAAGGGTTAACTGTGTGAGGGGAGTGTTTTACTAGGGGGCGGGGGGTGTGTACTGCAGGGAACACCGATCGGGAGAGAGAAACTCTTCTGTCCCGATCAGCTTGTCCTGGAGCTGTCAGGGAACTGACAGAAAGCACAGCTACTGCAGCTGCGCTCTCTGTCAGCGATTGCTGCTGATCGCCGGGACATAGTGGGTAACGACCAGCAGTGACCCGGCGACTGACATCCGCGGCTGTGATCGGCGGGACAGGTAGGGAGGCGGCGCGCCTCACGCGTGCCCCCTACCTGTTTACAAAACATATGTTTTAAAACGTGCTTTTGCCCAGCCGTGCCGCCCTGCCGCTGTATTTCTACAGTGATGGGCGGCATGTGGTTAACAATGAAAATACAGATGAAAAATAATAATAAACTCAATGAAAATGTACAGTAAAGGCAGAAATTACCAAACGATGATGGTGCTCTGTTCCATAGTAACACCTGATGTAGATGAAGATCAAAATTGGGTAGAGAATGCTTAATTCAGCGGACACCTGGCAAGTCACAGGATACAGCAACACTTTTTCTGACATGTATTTTTGAAGATATTTAAAATATAACAAACCCTTTTTTTCCAGGCCACCTGCTAGCACTGTGGGAACCCGACACATTTTTACAGCTCTTACAGCAAAGAACCCTACAGCAAAGAAACTTGACAGTTAAAAAAAATATAGTTAATAGTTATACATGCAGGTTAAAACAGAAAATCAAACATTTTAAGGAAACTTCTATTATACATTGTAAACTACAAACTTATAAACTGCTTGGCCTGTGTGTTGTCTGTTTGTCCAGGTTTTTTGCCGATCACCGTGAAAGCTGAAGCCATCAGAAGCCCTGAACCCTGCAGGGGCCATCCAGTATATGTGCCCCCTAATGGAAATGTGGACACAGTGCAGAAACAACTGCTTGTCAAGGCAAGTCTCTACTTTGTGTGTATGTTGAGGACCCTTTTACATACGATACTCCCTCTTTTCAGATTTCGTTGACATTTTTTTTTTAACCTATTTGACCTTTTCCAATATACATTCTTTGTTTATAAAGTTTGGAGGCTCTCATTTATGACAAAGGACCAGTTGACTGTCCTTCCAAATATAGGAGGGGGGGGGGGGGGGGGCGGAGTGGCTGGTAGGAATAGAAAATGCCCCAGCATCAGTGAGAATATAAAAATGACATATTTTCCCTAATCAGTAGAAGGAGGAATAGTGCCCATCATTTGGTATCAGTGGGAGGAATAGTGCCCCATCATTGGTATCAGTGGGAGGAATAGTGCCCCATCATTGGTGTCAGTGGGAGGAATAGTGCCCCATCATTGGTATCAGTGGGAGGAATAGTGCCCCATCATTGGTATCAGTGGGAGGAATAGTGCCCATCATTGGTATCAGTGGGAGGAATAGTGCCCCATCATTGGTGTCAGTGGGAGGAATAGCGCCCCATCATTGGTGTCAGTGGGAGGAAATAGTGTCCCATCATTGGTGTCAGTGGGAGGAATAGTGTCCCATCATTGGTGTCAGTGGGGGGAATAGTGCCCATCATTGGTATCAGTGGAAGGAATAGTGTCCCCCATCATTGGTATCAGTGGGAGGAATAGTGCCCCATCATTGGTATCAGTGGGAGGAATAGTGCCCCATCATTGGTGTCAGTGGGAGGAATAGTGTCCCATCATTGGTATCAGTGGGAGGAATAGTGTCCATCATTGGTATCAGTGGGAGGAATAGTGTCCCATCATTGGTGTCAGTGGGAGGAATAGTGCCCCATCGTTGGTGTCAGTGGGAAGATAGTGCCCCATCATTGGTGTCAGTGGGAGGAATAGTGCCCCATCATTGGTGTCAGTGGGAGGAATAGTGTCCCATCATTGGTGTCAGTGGGAGGAATATTGCCCCATCATTGGTATCAGTGGGAGGGAATAGTGCCCCATCATTGGTATCAGTGGGAGGAATAGTGTCCCATCATTGGTATCAGTGGGGAGGAATAGTGCCCCATCATTGGTGTCAGTGGGAGGAATAGTGCCCCATCATTGGTATCAGTAGAAGGAGGAATAGTGCCCCATCATTGGTGTCAGTGGGAGGAATAGTGCCCCATCATTGGTGTCAGTGGGAGGAATAGTGCCCCATCATTGGTATCAGTGGGAGGAATAGTGCCCCATCATTGGTGTCAGTGGGAGGAATAGTGTTTTGCTAAAAACACAAAAAAACGCTAT